CTTCTTTGAATATGATTTAAATTAAATTCATTTTATATTTGACGTTTGTGTTGATCTATCACGAATAGAACTAAGATATTTTCGTTTTTTATCAATTCATCTCTTGATAGAAGAAATTATTATGAAATATTGAGACCGAGTAACAAAACAAAACTTCACTAATTTCAATACTAAATCTACCGGACATAAAAAAAGAAAAAAGAATAAATGCGGAAACTTCGGATTTAAATCCGAGAGTTATGTGTACTTCAAAAAGTGAATGAGACAGATGAGTCGTTCTAGAATATGGGGATATAAAAATTATTCTGGCAAACCTTATCTGGTTGAGATAAGCTACACACACTTTGATGTACACACACAAAATCGCCATTGAACCATGTTGCACATTTCCTCCACAGGAAAGACAAATGTGTGAGAGAGGGCGCTCAATGATAGTGGGTCTCGCTCTTGCATTATTTATAAATACGATATGTTTTCACAAGATTAGTCTTGTAGACGATCTTTTATAAACTGAATTTAGCAAGAAATCATTGTTGAACACTATTGCTGTAAGAAACTAAAGCGATTTACTAGAATAATGTATCTGAATTTTATTATACAAATGTGATTGTTATCATTATATGGCGCATGAATTACATGATATGTAATATAAGTAAGAAAGATATTTCAGGAAAAGAATAAATCAATGTTTATCAGTATAAAAAAAAGTATTTAAAAAAACCAGTGACGTTCAGCATAAGGAAAAGTGTTCCAAAACAAAAGTGTAGTAAAAAAAGTACTTTAAAAAGACATCATCAATGGTGGTCAATATTAAAAGTTTGAGAAAACAACTAGGTTGAATGATGAATGGTGCCATTGACTGTCTGTTTAATCGAAAGATTTTGTGAAATCGCTAAAGATCGAATTGATCCAGTTGTTAATTTCTAAATAAAAAAAACCTTAAAACGTAAATGTGTGTTAGAAATAATTTATACTTACACCGGTTGATTTATTAACGAGATGAATTGGTAAAGGTGATTTGAATACAAAAGGAGTAGGAGTTGGAGTCGTTGTTGACTAGAATTGAAACCAACACATTTTCAAATAACGTAATATACTTTGTTCATTGTATTGTTTCGAATAGCTGTTCTCATTTTGAAGTAGTTAAGAACACTACTATTTTTTTAAAGTAAACTTTGACTGGAAGCAATTCTCACACTGCCTTTTTTTACTAATCAAAAAAAACTTTGAGTGTTCAACTTGATATTAGTCCAGATTTTAGACTAATCTCAATCAATCGATGTTCTCTATAGAAAACTTATACTTTCTTAGCGCATGGAAATGTATGATTTTCCATAGTAATGCTATAAATACGATTAGAAAAAAAATATTGAGGATAGCGATTTGAAACGTTGTGTTATACGAATTCTACTCGTCATGAGCCAATAATTCCAACCCGCAGTGTCTTTTAGTAAAATAAAAATCAAAGATTTCTACAGTGCTTGTTTGTATTTTGTTCACATAGGCTTTTCTCCAACTTATTATTTTAATGAAATGATATTGTTTATACGCACTGATTATGATTGTACTCTCATAAAACTTTTATATTATTAGAGAGTTTTACCTTGGCACCATCATTTAATCAGTCTGTGTTGTCTATTTATTTGTCTTATATGGTAGCTTCTTAGATCGTCTTTACAATATTTTTTTTTCTAGACATATTCAAGTATTCATTGCGAAACTGAATAGATGATAGATGGGCAATAAAAATTTTGTTAAGTATATTTGAAAAGAATTTCGCTAGATCTCAGTTTAATTACATCCTTGGACGCTATAAAAGAAGCTAAAGATATTTGGGAAAGTTATGGTATAGAAAAATATGAAAAAGCAATGAAAAATTCGAAAATAGTTAAAAGCAATTACCGAAAAACGAAGACAACTCATACCTAAAATCGATTGCTACTTTAAAAATAGTTGATTTGATAAATCTGTGTCGTTTGAATAATTTGTTCGATAATAGATGTAGCAAAGCAACCTTTTATGATTACCAACGATAACTATATCGTGTTTTGAACTTTAATCCAACAGGGATTCCGTTATTTATTTATGCTCATTGTAGAGAGAGGCAAGAACTATGTCTCCAGGAGTTTGAACATTTATGCAGGACTATTCAATAGTTGGGAAAGTTAGCTAGACTACAGTAAAAAGAATATTTGGGAAAACTAGTTAAATATGTTTTAGTTCTTACTTGTTGCAGAAAAATTATTGTCTTTTGAGCTGAATGAAAAAGATCATTAATTGAATCATGAGATAATGTAGTTGTTGTCTCATATGGATTACTACAATAAACTTGGAGTTTTTCAAGTTTAATCACCGATATTGAATTGTATTCGTCGATAAGTAAAACCGATATTGATCGATATGCATATCGATCTCGTATATTATCATCACCTAATTCGATACAAAGATCTCGAACAGCACGAAGTGTTGTACGTGATGAATAAAACATTAAAATAACTGGATATTGATGATGAACTTGACTATGTGTTGGTAAATTTACATTATTGATTTTTTCATCACAAACCGAACAATGAAGATCTAATGTAGCTTGCCACGTTAGCGGAGTAGCATATACTTGAGAATGATCTGTATATCGTTCATAAATAGATATACAGTTACTTGTTGTTAATAATGAACTAGATGAACATCGGCATTTTTGGCATTGGTAATATGTAGTATAATTTGAAGACAAAATTAACTTTAGATTATAAAATGTTGTTTTACTTTCGATGATTTTAACAGCAGCATTCAATGTCTCACATGCTTTAATATTATTTTCTGTAATATCATTAATACGAACAGAACAGCATTGTGCTATAGCAAAAATAAAGTTGCTATTGCATGTTCGAAGACGTTCCAGAATTATTAATCGACTATTAGCAAATAATTTACATAATTTTTCACCATTACCAATAAGCTTTGGCATGGAACTAATGCGCCATCGTTGTTTAATTTTTGTAGCTAGCACTAATTTGTTATCTGTATTTGGCATTATAGATATAAATGCAACAACGTCATAAATACTTGATGACGTACAACCAATATTAAATTTTTCTAGAAAAGGTTGAAAAAATATTGCGTTCGGTGGTTTACGTAAAACTGTCGAAGAAATGTCAATACATCTAATGTGAAGAATGATTACAGATGGACCTAAAATAAATAATCACATAAAGTTAATATAATTTTCTTAAATTAAAATTTTTTGATCGTCTTACATTCAAGTAATTTTATATGTCGAGACATACTCGTTGAACATTTATAACATATATGATCGGATATGAAACCACCAAAGTAATTATTTAATTGTTCACGAAGATGGTACTTTCCTTCAACCATATTGAGCGGAATATAATTAATGTTAAACCTGGTATGTGTAGTAAATTTACAAGACATATAAGTAAATATTTTAATTGCTGGTATTGAAGAATCAATAATTTCGAGAATAATTTTGTGTAGAATAAAATTTATTTGTTCATTACCATCGACTGGGACATTAGTTGGTATATGAAATGGAGCATTCAATAGTTGTATTTGTTCTGTACTTGTTTGTTTTTTGGGTTGGGTACGATTTGATGAAGATGTCCATCTATTGATGAAGGAAAGTATATCATTAGGTAAAGACGTTGATATTGTTAATAGTGAAGGTGCAGATTCACGAATTGATTTAATCGATATTAACATTCCAATAGTTACATTTAACCAGTTGGATACAGGTAAATCTGGTATTGAAAGACCATCATTAATTGTTGTTGAAGATGCAATAAGTGCATATTGTAGATTGTTCATTATTGATTTGTCTGGTTTTTTTGCATAAAATCCAGAACCACGACGGTTCTTTTGTCTCCAGTTTTCCTTTAACTCTTTCAATCTCTGTTGAGAACTTTCATTATTACTATCATCGGATGTTGAAGCTAAGTATGAAATAGAGAAGTTTTCAATAAATTTTTGCATATCTTGAACGAGTATTTGTAAAACCACGTCCGAACGCATATAAGTTTGTGTACCTGTATAAATTTAAATCGGTTTTTATAGTGTTTACTATTCTTACTAGAAATATAAATTTTTTACCAAGTTGTGTTCTTTTCACGATTGCCATGCGTCTTTCTGATATGGCATTTGTTCTTTGATCATGTTGATTCAAAAGTAAGTTGTCAAATGCTCGAATGGATGATATTACATGACGTGATAGATCACCTAAGATATGTTATAAAGATTAAAATAATTGATAGTTACAGAGAAAATGATCTACCTAATAGCAAGTTTGACCAAATGGCCACCGTTGGTATACAATGTTGATTGAAATAAGCCAACCATTGTCGTACAGATTTAGCTGCTTTATCTAATGTTGAAGAAGAAGCAGTTGACTTGATGTTTTTTTCATAACACTCGTAATAAATTTTTTGAAGATCAATCTTGAAATTACTATCGATTTCGTTCAGCTGTTTTTCTTCATCAATAATCTATCAAAAAATATAAAAAATAGATGATGCCTTTGAACACAGGCTAGGCTACAAAAAAAAGACGATAAATTACACAACTATATGTTTAGAACTCATTAAAAAAATCAAGAATTTTTTCCATGCTCATCAATATAGATTCAAGATGATCATAAAACAGATCAACAAACTTCAAATAACTATACCACACCTGTAGATTTTATTAGACTTTAAATGATTTTATGAAAACTTTGACAATATTTGCCACCTTGAAAAACATAATTTTCTATTTTATTTTCTGTACAAAGTTGTAGGAGAACATACAAGAAATATGAAGTACTATTATATGCTACAGTTTTTTTTAGCAAAGTCTTGAAAATAATCATGCTGTTTAAGAGATAATACATGAGAAAATTGGTCAAATATATATATAAAGAGTAGAGCACAAAAAATTTATTATTCGGAAATAAACTATATCATGTGAAAATCTGAAACAACATATCAGAAACTCTTTCAACTTGATTTGCATTTGAAAATATTGTCCCATGACAGTGCAGTTAATAGATTGAATCAATATTCATTACTCAATATTATAGAAGAGAGTTTTTCAATAGCAACGTAGGTTTTCATGGAATACCATATAGAACTTTCAGTGTGCAGCAAAGTCATCGAAAACTTATAAAATAATACATGCCAAAGAGTTAAAAAGTCTTTCTGCAATTATTGGAAGAGTTCTTTTAGAACAATTTAAAACATGACATTTAAGAACAATTTTTGAAGAACTGTACAGGGACAGAATTTATTGAACATTTAAAAAGATGTCATATGCTGAATTTAATATATTTTATTAATTATTGTTATAGAAACTCTTTATCAAATCATATTCAATCTTTTTTACGCATATTTATAAACTCGATGAAAAACACATTAGTGTCAATAGGTGTTTCAAGTTTCATAGTAGATGTACTTATCTGTTTCACCAATTCAATCGTAATTGTCTTGAAGTCAAAAGAAAATTTTTCTTGAATAGTACAAATAATTTAAGAAGTGCTAAAGGGAAATTTTCTTTTTCTACATTTGTTGATAGAGCAATAAAAGTTTAAGAACATCTAATTACAATAGGCTTAATTAGTGGAACAAACTTTCGAATTGTTCCTTTAGTTTTCTAGACATCTAAATAAAGCCAAGTTTGACTTATAGTTACATAAAATTTCTTTCCTCACCGAGTTATTAACAGATGTTCGATGAGAATATGATCTTTTCAATTGTTTCGTCTTTTCCATAGTTTTATTAGAATCGAATAGATTATGGTGCAAGTTATCATTTTCAATATCATCATCAAATTCAAATGGATCAGTCGATTCCGATATAATTTCTTTCGATTGATTAATAGCTGCTGATGAATTTGGATCATTTGTAATTTGGCTGATGCGAGAAAGAAGTATTGAATAATGTTGTTTAAAAGTTACTGTTTCATTTGTTGAATAATTAATAAAAACCTCACAAATTAACCTCCAGTTTTCTTTCATATCAACCCATGTATTTGTGTTAACTAAAAGAGCAACACACCACATACCTAATTCACGAATATCATCATGCAAGTATTTATTAACACGTTTTCTCATGTCCTAAATAGTGCAAGTGCAAAAACATATAGTCAATTCTTTTTTCTTGACTTACCAACATAAAATGAGATAAACAAGCATGAATAATGGTTTTTGATAAGTCATTTTGAATAGCTTGATGAGTGACTATACGATAGGCACGTGTAAGAAATTGTTGATAATTTTCGTCATTAAAAAAATGAAGAGCAGCTTGAAGAAGAACTTGAGCTCGATCAGATAAAATCACTGCTGGTCTTGGAAATGAATCTTTTTTATGAGGAAATACCTGAAATTCAAAACAAAATTAGAATCAAAGGACACGATAGAAGAATCTCCTACAGTATAGGTGATTATAGCAGTTCAATTTAACTACTAGTATGCTGACTATCTATATCAAATGTAGGTATACTCTGTCTATGGAGCACCAAATCTGAATCTTGTGAAATCCAAGTCGAACGCAGATTCGGTCAAATCCCGTCAATCCCAATCAAATATTTGGGTTTGAATTTGACTTCAATTGAAATCGCTACATCCCTAGTTTAATCCTTATGTTTCGTTTGAGACTCGACATAATACTTACATGGTATCAACTTGCTAAAAGAAAACTTTATCACTAAGATTTAGCTAAACCTAATCGAAACGACACATATTAAGTCTAAATTTCTTAGGTTTCTCGTTTCCATCTACTTTCAGATTGAACTTTGGAAATAAATTCTATCTGAAACAGTTTTAATAATTGTAACTAGTAACGATTTCCAGAAAATCATATTTTTCACATGTTGAAGAAAACAAGTCTAACATACTTTTTTATAACTTTCTTTAAATGCTGTTAACCAATTAGTGACAGTATGAAGAGTTTGTGATTCTGACAGCATGAACGTTAATGGTACCAAGCTGTCTTCATTAGTTATATTTGGATGAGATACTGTTAATTCATAATATAAACATTGTCTTGATATTGATGCAGTATTTTTGATAATGCCTCCCGTGGCATCCCATGATAATACTGTTTCAGGATGGCTGACAATTGCATCATATAAACGTATAGAAGCTTCGGTAAAAGCTACAATACAAAATGGTCTAAGTTGTACCACTTGAATTGCACCTTTAACGATACCATCGCTATTAATTTCATCAACTAATTGATCATGAAGGTTTAAAATACCTTGTGTAATATCTGGTGAAAGTAAAGATGCGGCTACTGCTTCAGCTTTAATCTTTTTGAAAATCTTCTTTGATTTGCCTGTACGATCGTAATTAAAACCTTTTTTTTCATTTTTGGTTCGCTCTTTATCATATTGAGCATGTAATCGATAAAGAGAAGCACCTGATTTAAATTTTTCAATTAATGCCTGACGTTGAGAACCACGAATAGGACGACTAAGTCGTTCACCAACATGATGAAATATATTTGGATTTATTGCAATAAGAAAACAATCACCATTATTCAGAACATGCACTGTACATTTGAATTCACAAATACTACCACTACATTGTATTATACATCGCACAAGAAGAGAATTTGGTTTAGAAACATTTTTTCCAAAGTAACGTGATCGAATACATAAACCACAAGCCGAATTATAATGTTTCAGATGAGGTAAAAGTAAATTTAGATATTCAATATTAACGTTTTTTTTTTTAATATTATTATTTTCTTGGTAAGATTCATCACCATTTAAATCATTATTTGTCGTTGACATATTTCCATTTTTCGATTGTTTTTTTCCGAATGACGATGAATCGATTGCTAATCCCATTAGTTCCATTTTATGATTAGATTCTTTTTCTAATTTTTCTTGTCGATATTTATTCATTTTTAAGAGTTCATTTTGACTTAAACGAAAGAAATGCTTTTGTTTAAGTGTATCTTCATATGTTTCGTCAATCGATACACCTGCTGCCACTGATGCTAATTTCTTACAAGTTTCTAAAAGAACAACAAGGTTATTAGAGCTGTATTAACTAAATAGATAAAACGTGACTTGTATAAAAAAAAAAGTTGTAAATAGAAACTAGCTATTCTATGGAGATCAATAGTAAAAACCAAAAATTAGAATGAATCAATTACATCTATCAATATTTTAAAACATTGTTTTCAAATAAAATAAATTATTGTGTACTTAAAAAAGTGCTTAAAGTTCTCTTGAAACTTAAGCAAGTTTATAAGCAGCCTATTATGAGACAAATGCGAACTCAATAAGTGAATGTTAATCTCTATTTGAAGTTAAAAGGTATCTCTTTCGAAAAACTTAAGTCGTTTGATTATTTTTTGTACAAGTATTGATTGAATAGAAAAAGAGTCTTAGTCAGGTTTAAAAAGCATAATTGACATATTATTTGTAAAAGATTGCAAATGTAATAATCAATGACTCTGACTCTAGTAATTCTATGATTATCTCTAAGAAACTAAGATAAAAACTATGTTTGTTAATTCATTTAGGTAATCGAATTACTTAGACATTCGTTTTTGAAAAATTTATTTTATGAAGACTTATATGTGTTTCTTAGGGAAATCATGATAATACATGGTTCAGTTTACGGACCTTTTTTTGTTTCTTTACCGTCAGGTACTTGATGTATTGAATCATCAAATGTTTTATTTACGAAAGATTTTTTATAATACATTGGTTGTTGTGATGTATCTGAAGCTTAAGAACGATATAAATAATATCACAATAGTCAACAATATTGAGCAATTGTTCATACCTTTATTCAATATATGATCAGTGGTCTTCTGTTTATCTTTGATGAGTTTGTTTGAACATCTTTTAATAATTGTTATACTACTTTCTGTTTCTCCAGGAATAGGATCCTTGTTTAAAACAATAGTTTTTGATGAATCAACTGTAGAAAGAGTATTTTCAGACGTTGATTGAGTATCACGTAAGGAATTAACTATAATAGCAAAATCGAAAGAAAAAAAAATTAATAAAGAAGTAACTGACAAGTATCAGATTGCATCGTTTTCGTCGTATTAATTAAAGACTTGGGTTTCGATATTTTTTCATTCAAAAATGTTATTGATTCATTCATAGATGTTGAATTTGCCGGCATCTAAAAAGGATTGTTCGAGAACGATTTATATTATAAATATTATATTCATACAGATGAACTTAAAATAGAAGAATGCAAGACAATGTTGTCTTCTGTTACTAAAGACGTTAATGGTTGTGGTATTTGTTGAAATGACGTATGCATTGTTTTGGACGTATGAAATATTTTAGCATAAAATAGTATTAAAGCTTCTGAATGATTTAAAACTTCAGTTGAAGATACGTTTCGACAATGTGCATCGTCGACAAGAAACCAAAGGTTATCTACTGATCGGACATAAGAATAATAATGACCACTGTTAAGATCATCACCAATATGATTGATGACGGCGTACAATTTGTAAAAAGAATTATCTGATGAATTAATGTTTTCAGTTTTATCATTTGAAGCAAGCGAATAAGACGTCATATAAGGCGAAACATCTAATAATTCATTGTAATTCACTTGATGCGAAAGCTTTTCAGTTGCATCAAATGAGATACTGCATCGTTTAAAATTTATAATTAATATTGGTGATAGTTCATTAATAGTAATACGTTTGTCGAGTTTTACACATTTACAACAATTACTACATGTAAAGGAGCTTACTACTTCTCGATCAAAGAAATGTGTAAGTGCATCAGTTAAATTGTTTAAATTATTTATTTCGATTAGTAATATATTAGTAATTTCTTCTTTTTTGAAAGTGTATAAGCACGATAGACATTGTCCAGATGATAGAAGCTTAATATTGAATATTTGATCAATAATCGTTGGTTCCAAAGAAAGAGTAGATGATATTGACAGATGTGATGGTAAACAACAAACAAAATGTTCCAACAAAGTAATAATAAATTCACTAACATCTTCTTGTTCCTCAATATTAAAAATAGGTGATATTAAATGTACATGAGTTCTAATAGAATCAGCTGATGGAGTAGTAAGACAATGTGATTCAATAAGTGTGTTTGTTGATGATGGATGAATTGAGGAAATAATTTTTGTTAATTCACAGATAGAACAAAATTTTTGTTGATGTGATAGTTTACCTAAAATGCAAGTATAAAGAAAATCAACAGAGTTTAATAATAGATGTTGCTTTTTTGTATTGAAATATGTGAAACATTCAACCGAACGATAGAGAGGCCTCAGAGTATCAATCAGTTTCAATAAATTCATATACAAGAGAAGAAAAAAAGAAATTGAATAAGTCAAATATAATCATCAAACAATATGCTTTTAATCTTTTTGATTTTATTTTACTAAGCATCTGAACTAGAGATAGAAGCAGAAGAACTTTCTTTGTCCTATTATGCAAACTCCGTGATGAAGATCCGTAAAATTATGCTCGAATTACAGTTTTGTCCTGTTATGCATGACAGGACAAAAAAACGCTCTGAGCACAGTTAATTATTTGATACAACATTTTTCTTTGAAATTTCAATGTGCCACATACTGTTTTTTTTATATAAATGTGTGTTACTCACATGTATTTAATTTATTGAATCGATTAAACAACCATTCAGTCAGAGGAGGAGTGTTCGCTAAACATTGTAAAGCTGCATTAATATAAAAAGTTTTATTATTAATATTTCTTAAACCGATGATTTGTTTTCGTAGTAAATTCCAATTTATTGTCGGCTTATTGATAAAAGTATCAGGAAGCTTTGACTGCATACGAAGAAAATCATTACTATTTTGTGGATGAAGTCTTTTTTTCGACGGTGTTTTCTCCAACATATCATTGTTGGATTCATCAGTACTGCTTATTATTCCTATGCAAAACAAAGCTAAGAATGAATTAAGAGTATTTTCAGACTATCTTCACTTTTTTTCTTTGGACTATCTGAATTTTCTTCGGTAATAATTGAAGAAGTGTTGAATTTGTTAGTTAAGCCATGATATTGAGTAGTGTGATTGTCTATATTAAAATTATGACAAAAAAGAAACAAAATAAGAAGGAAAAATAGCGGAACAACATATTTACTCACTTGTAAGTGTTAAATGATCCATATTGCACGACGATAATAAAATTGAAAATGATTTTTCTTCATTAGATCGATTTACTAAAAAGATGTGAATATATCAAGAAACTTTTCGATTTCGTCGTTAGAGTTCAAGTAAACGTGAAAATTTCGTTGTTATGAGCATCATTATGCTTAGTGGAAAACACGAGACTGTAACAGTTGATATTAATACTACATGTTCAGCTTAATAATAATTTATAAAAGATTTTAAATTTAATGTCTGAATATTTGTCAGACTTTTTTCTACTTCAAAAAGCATATGCATTAAAAGATACTATAGTATTAAACAAGATATTTGTTAGCATTGCATAGAAAATGTTAGATATTTTTCAGACTTTATAATAAAAACTCTTAATATGCTTTATATTTTTGAAACTTATCTTTTTTTTTCTTCGATGAATTAGTTCAATTTTTTCCAAACTGTTCTGAATAGTTTGAACATTTTTGTATATGTGTACTAAATAATCCATTGAATCAGTCAATGAATTAAAAATGAAACGAAGCATCTAGCTAAGTATTGTCATCATGAAATTTGTTTAAAAAAAAATACTAATCGTTTTAGAGAAAGATTCGTTTGATAGGAGTATTTTTTCCTACTTTCAGCTTGGGACAAACTAAGCACTACTTATAAAAATATTTACAATGTTGTGATTGTTTATTCCATAATTGATCATTGAAAGTCAACGAAGGATTTACGTTTTGATCATTATTTGGATAATTCATAGATTGAAGATTATCAAGTGAGTCAGGTGGTGTTGAATCTAGAATGTTTTTATAGAACTCCATAGTACGTAAAAGAATAATGGTACTGTTAGATAAGTAAGATTTCCACACTTGTGGAATAGTAATGTTCTTAAAATATAATGTTGGATCTACTTCATAATGAAGTAGGCGGTTAATGAATATTAAATTTATAGTATCTGGTATGTATTTAATATAACCTTCAAGATCCAGATGACTATCAGCTTTAAACAAATCATTAGTGAACAGTAATAAACATTCATCTACAAGTAAATTTGCTGCATCTTGATCAATTTTTTTGACTAAAGATAACGTTGAAATAATACTGCAAGGATGCTGTAAAAGTTTTTGACACGCTTTTTTTAGTCGTAATTCATAATCAGTTGGAGTTTGTTTAAAACACGGTAAAAGACTATTAAGCTCTTCAATATCAGCATCTGTAATAGCAGTATTTTCAGAGTTACAATGATTTTCATCAGGCACTTGGTCCGGACTGGAACATGTTGAATCCACCAACATTCTAAAATGATCTAGAATATAACGAACTAAAATTTTTGTACAAATATGTAAGATATCAAATGGATATATTGAAATGATTCTACATGTACATTTTTTTAATGCTGGTTATATCTTGTTCAATAAATATAAAAAGAGAACATGGATTAATTATATTCAAAAAACATAATAAGTATATATGTACAAATGCTCTACACATAGAATAGATGTGTTTAATACTAGGGTAAACATATAGGTCAAAGTTTTTTTTTATTGTTCATATATATATATATATGTATATACTGTAACGTTCTTTAAAACGTATAAGATGCAAACAATTGATTAATTTATTATTCATTCAAATATGAAATTAATTAAGGTGTTCTCATGCGACATTTAGCAATAGAACAGTACATTTGCATTGGAATGTATTTATCTACAAAAAAAAAAATTATCAATTCGAAATATTGCTTCAGTTGCTTTTGTATTTATTATTTCTATTTGACAATAATTCGTTAGAAATACTTTTCTAACCGACACTCCTTAATAAGTAATTATGGTTTTAGACCATCAATATATAATTATCAAAGCAATAGTTGAATGTAAAAGATAGAGAATATTCTATCCAACTGAATCACAATAAACTGTTGTGTTAATAAATATAAGAAGGTATATTTAGAGTTCGTTTCTCTCATTGGTGTTAGGTAGCCTTCTTTCAAAGTTGAACATTTCTTACAAAGACTTAATAAAGTATGTCTTGATATGATTAGGAATTATCTTAATAGTATTTAGATAGGAGAAAAGAATGCGTACTAGTATCAAAATATAGAATATTATTTATGTTGATTCGAATGAAAGATCGATGCCGATAAAATGAGATTAAAGTTTTATCCAAAGGACTTCTATTAGTATCTAAATGTTAACAATTTAATGAAAAAATTTAAAAATTCTTTTCTGTACTCTTTAGTAGAATATAAAGCATTTTTGAAGATGTCACTTACAAAAGTGTCATTTCTAGGTTAGAAAAGTGAATTCTTCACAAAAAACTCTATAAACAACTTACCAAATATCCATGTCAGTTTTCTTACTTATGTGTATTGAACTTACGAAGAGCTAATGGAAGTTTCAGTCATATAAAATAAAAATGCACCTGTCACAAATGAAGTATCTGCAGCTTTCTCTATAAAATACTAATGAATTTGACATTCGAATACTTACCGTTATTAAAATGGTTCTCTTATATCTATATAGTTCCTTATAAAGAATTCTTGTGTTACTTCCTACGCACAAAGAAAACCTACAAACGGAGTTTTTTCTGTGATGTTTTAACTTTTTATTATATCATTCGGTGTAAAATAAAAAATAATATTGAGAAAAGCCTGTTCAGAGAAGAAAATATTTGTTGAAGAAGGTTTTTTCGAGACAGACGAAAAGTTAGACATGGATAAAGTCAACACGGTTCATTGGTTTTAATTGACAATCATATTTATGAATAAATATGATGACTGCAATCATATTTCTCTTAGTGGACTGCTCAAATACTGGCAAAATTGCGCGGAATAGTCTGTTGATTTCTTGAATACTAGTAAACATCTAAGAGCGAAAAGCCACCCTCAAGATCATTATATTTCGTAGATGAAATCGATGCAACTCATACATCGGTCGATCCACATAGAATAACCGATGGACACAATTCTATTAATGCTTAACACTTATATCACATCTAACATACTACAATAACAGTCAATGCGGATAAAAAACACATTTCGCAACGTGTTAATGATGCATGATATACGTCTATATACATTATGTGTATATTGCTATAGACAACTGAAAACAATTTTAACGATCACGTGCCTTATATATTAATAGGGTTAATTCGAGACGTAGTGATTGTTTTGATCAACCATAAAAATCTAACTGAATGAACATATCTAAATTTTCACTCGAAAATAGTGTATATGACGAAATTTTTTTGGTGATAGTGGAAGATTCAAATGAGATAGTTCTTTTCTGTTCTATGTTATCATTCTAAAGTAATTGAACAGGTCAAATACCAGAACAGAACATTATTTAATAAGAATAATCATTTTAGCCTAATAAATTTCATAAAACTTTTAGTTAGTTGTCTGTGTATTCCATTAAATTTTCGATTAACAACAATTTTGATTTTTTAAATAATACTTGATTCAAAATCAACATAAGAAATAAAGATATCGTACAAAATCAACATAAGAAATAATATCAGATCATTTTTTTAATACATTTTGGTATACTTCCAGAGAACCGTATTTTGGTATCAACAAACATTATTGATATTACATGAAGAAAAGAGTTATGTGACGCATACATGAAAATAAAATATATCGTCTTTTCAAGTTCATGACTGAATTGCATATCAGTTCTCCTTTATCGATTTATATACTGAGACTGAGCACGAGCATATTCATCATTTTTTTTGTCTTGTATCTGGTTCAGCTATTATTATAATATGATCACTGCATTCTATAAATTCAATGTCATGTAATTCCTCATAGATATATTATTGAGTGGTTGATTTTCTTTGGGTACACTTCATAGCATACCGTTCGCTTCAAACTCTCCTTATTGCAGTATCATGTACAACAAAAGCAAGGTATATACTATATATGTATATATACATCGTAACAATATGCCAATATATTACAGAGAAATGTTCAGAAATCGTGCCAGAATAAATGTGTATTGAACATGAGAAAAAAATTTGACTGTCAAGACATATGTTATAAAGAATATTCCAAATCACAGAACATATATATGAAGAAGACAGAACAGGAATAGATAAGTATATATATATACATATGATAGAAGAACAGAAAGAAAAAGAATGCATATGACACATGAACCAGTGAACCATATTTTATCGAGCAACTTGGTAAATAGAATAGACCATAATCATTGATTTAGTGTTGTGATCAAGAAAGTCTCCTTTTCGACCTTAGTTGATTGAAAATCTTGCTAAGGTCTATGGAAACAAAATTGTTGCATGTGAATAAGCATGGCTACTTCGCAGCTTGAATAATTGCTCATCACTCAGTTAGATTTATTCTACTTTTTAAAATTATGTCTATCAATCATGTTATTTTAGTTAGGACTTTTACGTATTGACAATTTCGGAAATGATGAATACCAATCTGTAGTTAATTCAATATAAAAAAAATTGGAGTGATTTTTGATAAAATACTGTATACAACAATTTCACAAGCATATATAATTAATTCAACCGGTTTTTCGATAATACTTTGGAAATAAATAGTTTGTATTTATAATTAGTTCTAAATGAAATTTTTATGAAATTCATAAAACCAATGACAGTTCGAGAATCTCTTATACTAAAAACCACGCACTAACTCAGTATAACAATAGGTATTATTAAGACAAACAGGCTTTCATTGAATTAAACTAATTTTCAAAATATTTCTAAAACTAATTTCAGTCAGTTCAAAATCATGAAATAAGTGATTTTCGAAGTGCATATTAATCCTTTGCGTTACTGAGTAATATCTTGCAACAGATTTGACAGCATATACTAATTTTAATTTACTACTAACTTTTTAAATTTGTTTTCTGGCAAGCACACTGTCGTACCGTATATTATAATGTCAAATTAGAGATATCCAATGATTTCACTGTGACTTCGTATTAGAATTTGCACTACAAAACGTCAGAAAGAAAGAAAATGATCGCTTTTAGCTTGAAGATAGTTAAAGTCCCGGCATAGTATAAACATATCTATAATTATTTCTGGATTGTTGATTTTCAAGTAAATAATATAGAAAACACGGCATATTCATATTCGTCTAACATTGGAAATTCTAGACAATATTTCTTTTTTCAATGACAAAATATGCTTGTAGTAGAAAAACAAAGAGTGAACCTTTTTTCTGCTTAGTTATTTGTCAAAGTTATTGAAAGATAGTTTAATATACTGACTCGTTTAATATTTAGATTAAGAGATAAATAAGATTTCTCGCCACATCTATGGTTATTTATTATGAGCAAAGTTAATAACAATCGCTGATCCCTCCACATCAGTAATTATTGAATATGATCAGACTTTCAAAATACTTTGTTGTTAGAGAATATGTAACATCATTAGTGGAAATGAAGATGTTGCTTATTCCTTGTTAGAATTTTACAGATTGTATTCTATAAGTTTAAAGAGAAAAATGTCAATCATCAAAGTTATTTTTTTTCAAAAACTCCTTCGATGTTTAAATTACTTGTAAGTTATACGATTCTTAGAGTAGGATGTATTTAGTTAGGTCTTTTTTGAAAAGCTGTAATAACATGCACTAAGCATTGCAACAATAATATATAATGAAATACACTTTCATGTTTTCAACTTGATCAGGTTATGTGCTGATACATTTGAATGCAGAATTATTTTGTTTTACGTGTTATTTTTATTTGAAATTATGTCTTGAGCCATTTCAGAGGAATTTAATGATCAATACATTTGAACGTGTATCAATAGCTGAGCACATTATATTTTGTCCAGAACTATACAGCTAATGTAACATGAAGAAACTAATTCAAAATAGTATGAAAAAATAAACTATCTTATGAAAATTAAGATCACTATCTTCTATTAAGCTTGTGCTACATGTTCCGAATACATAGAATGAATACACTTTCAACTTAAGAACATAGCATTATGACATCTTAACAAAATGTGATGATCATTCCTAATTCATAGTTTTGGCATGGAAACATGTCTGTGCTGATATATTCAAAATGGAATTAATCTGCAATAAAATATTGCGATATGTTATAGATGAATGGAAAAGATTAGCGTCTTTGAGAGTGTCGGCAAAAATTAGGAAATTCAGTGTGTATGACAGCAATGATACATTACGCTTAATCCAAAATCTAACAATATGAGATAAAGATAAAAGTTTTAAATGAGAAAATTTATTCTAATTATATTATAAACTGAGTTTTCGATCCTCATATGATCATTTTCAACCAAATAATAAGAGTTT